TTCCTGAGACACGGAACCCACAATAGGGCAGGGGGAGAAGGAAGGACTGTGTGCCTCTGTGGGTATCCTAAAGGACTTCGGTATTCTAATGAAGACATTAGGTCACTACTTTAGGTCTGGATAGCTTTAAATACGCATTTCCTTCTCACACATCTCTGGCATTGAGAGATGTCTTTCCTCTGGCAGCAGGCAAGCGAACCTAGTGGGGGGTCCTTTTGGTGATACTATACCGTACCCCCGACCCTTGGCCCTGCTCTGTAACACGAGGACCTCTACAAACACAGAAGGCAGCACTACTGAAGCAGAGGGCTCCTTTAAGAAGGCTGAAGGATGCTTCAGGGCAACTCTCTGGAATCGCAAGAAGTCTGAGCTGGGAAGGGCCAGCGCCTCCACCCCGGCCGAGCACCTGCCCACGCGCCATCACCAGTCTCCGCTGATGGGTGGCACCATCTCTTTAGAGCTGCCAGCTGAACCTGAGTATGCATGTCTGTCAAAACCACGCTGCTGGGAGCGTTAATTCCCTTAAGGATGATAGTTCCCACTTGGCCAAAGAGGGAAACCTAAGAATACCTGTAACTAACCGTTAGGCTGGAAGAGATCATGCCTCATAGCAGCGTTTCCCAAAATGCCTTCCAGGTGACGTTACTTATGTGTTACTCACGTTTTAAAAAAAAGAGGTAAAAGTGGGAATAAATGAAGTTAGACGGGGTGTGTGTGTGTGTGTGTGTGTTTTAACACTAACGTCTCTCAGAACCATTCGTACATCCGAGTCTCCTGGGTCCCGTGGCAGGGTGCGCACTACTTCCCACATTCAAACTGAGCGAGGCACACTCGACTCCCTAAGCACCGGGCGCAGGGTCTCTGCACGCACAGACATTCCCATCGTGCATTTCATGAAGCTGCGCTCAGTGAGTGACAGTGAAAGGTAGGAATCAGCTGGGCTGGAACACAGGTCTGAAATTCCCCTTCCCCCCTGTCATCTCCACACTGACACCCTACTCTTCCGTTACATGAATCTTTCGGTCCTACACAAATGAAACAAAATGTGTTACCTAGAAGCTACTAAAGCTCAAGTTCGAGGGCCTGCCCCTGGCCTGAGGCTCCCCTGTAAGTGTATCCACAGTACTGTAGTCTTTCCTCTGAAGGAGGGCCCGCAAAGTGGTACCACCTTCACGTCCCGCAAAACCTGCTGCTACCTTGTGAGTTACAAATCGCTCAGTGGGGTTTTGCCCAATTTATAACCTGTGATTGGAAAAGATGAACTTAAATTACTGACATTACGACCGATTAAAATGCCCTTTGGACTACTCTGGGGTCACCTTTGAGAGACTGGCATCCATCCTCCTGGGTTGCTAGAATGTTGATCTAAGTAAGAATTAAATCTAGATTCACTCTTTGTATACTCTTTCTAGTTATATCACCTTCTACCACCTCACTTCTTAGAATTCCTCTTAAGGCATTTATCACTGCGACTATTCTGTTTTCCAATAAAATAAAATAGCAGCACCTTAGTCAGTAGTCTTATCTCTAGTTTTCCTCCTCACAATATTGAAAGACTGCGGAGAGCCACACGGAAATCATCGCACTGTAAATATTAGCACAGTTGGAATTCCTTCTGAAGACCATCTGAAGTTTCTGCGTCAGTTTTTTCCACAAGTAGGGACTGACATCTTTAAACTTGAATCTACAGTACTGCAATTTGGCATTCCACTCCAATTCTTTAAAAGCTTCATTTATATTGATCTTGTCTTTTGGAATTTCCTGTAGGCTGCCTCAGATAAAATAATTTCCAGCCGAATCTTCATCTTATCTGCTCTCGACGCGGACATTATGCCTTCAAAATCAAATCTTATTATCTAACCCCAAACAAAAACACTTTATTACAGAATATCAAATCAGTAACATTAACAGACTGACCTTGGTAATTCATTTTACCATGATTGATAAGCCAATGTTTAAGCTTTGACTACTGATTCGCAAAGCTTTGCAAATTTCTTCCAGACTAGTCAAAATCTAACAAGGTACTCTAACCACCACACACAGAAATCACTATCCAACCGCTGCGTGTCTTAGACCAATTCAATGCTCTGCTCTCTCATTTTTCAAGTAAGGTTACAGCCAAAATTACAAAACTAGGACTGATGGTAAAGGGCAACCATTCTGCCTTCCTCTGTTTCATTCCCAGCATCCTCCTGAGTTGGTGGAGGTGAAAACACGCGAAGCCCAAAATAGCAGTTGTGCACTGCCAGCTCAGCCCCACCATTTCCAAGCCAAAGGGGAATTGACAGAAACCCCCTTTACAAGTCTAGTGTTTGTAAATATCCAATGAAATGACTTCATCCAGTCAATTATTTCTGGAGAAAGCTGGCAGAATAACGTAGCAATTAAACTGAGGACTGGTGAAAACTGTTAAACAAGAGAGCTATTTTGCTCAGCAGTTCTAGCTAATGCTTTTAATGCATTTTCATTAAAAAATGCTTGAAATACTAGTACAATTAGAAGGAATTGCCCCTTTACTGAGAAACATATTTAAAATATTCCAGTGCTGATAGCACATGGAAAAAGAGAAATGCAGTTTTCTAGTATCTCCTTAAGAGTCAGAATTTCTTAAGTATGATGAATTCTGACATAGAAACACAACTGTATCCAAATACAAGTAGAAAAGACATCCCAAAGCCAAAACATCACACAGTCAAGACTCCAGCGCCTGTGTGCTAGGTGTTCACTCCACAGTGAATGTGCTGCCTGCAGCGTCTTTCTCCCTGCCCAGCCTCCCACTGGCTCCTCCAATCGGCAACCAACACACCTTGATTCCCTTTCATGCATTCATTCATTCATTCATTCATTCATTCATTCAACAAATGGAGCCACCATATCAGGCATTTTTCTAGTTACCTGTAATGTAGCCATAAACAAAAATACTTTATCGTGTATCTCTTCTAGATGCCTATTGGTTATGCACTTGGAGACAGACCAAAGTTCTAAAACAAAGTAACAACCTGGAATCCAAAAGCTGATGGGAAAATCTCTGAATGCTTTTCAAAGTAAAATATAAGCTGTTAAATTACTTGTATCACTTTGTTTTGCAAAGACTCTTGGCATACAAATAAACGCCATCTTTCCTAGTACCTGATGCCATGGATACAAAGATTTTAAAAAGGGGAGGGTGATTTGGGGGCCATCTGCTAATAAAGTCAGAGGAGCTGGCGAAAGCCGAGAGCTTAGAGAAAAACCAAGCCCCAAATTTCCAAGGGAGAGTGACACTGGGAGGGTTAGTGACTAAAAACAGCTTGTACCATTTCACAAATACTTCTCATTTCTCTTTGTCAGAATACATGACGCTTCACTCACAAGATCCCTCTGGATGAGACAGCAAACTCTTTGGAAAATGCAAGTCACATGGGGTGTGAGACTAAGGGCTGTCAGTCACTCACATTTTGTTCACATGACCGACCGGAGAATTTAAGGCAATGTTTGCCAGGTATTTGTGAACTGAGGATTACTGTCAAGTCAGAATGGCAGGCTAGTTAAGATCACAGATTCCGGAGCCGCACTCTGCTTGAGTCTGGACACTGGCTGCATCACTAACAAGCTAGGCAAGTTTGCAAAACTAAAAAACTGATACCCGAGGTCTGTATCCCACATGGGAGTGAGATCCAAATTTATACGACAAGTTGAAAAAATGGCCTTACATCCGGTTCAAAGCATCTGAAATGCCCAGAGCTCAGGAAAACCAAACCATAGACACAATCTCTCACCCCAAGGCACACAGGACTCTCTCAAAGAGAGTCTTTGAATTTCCGCTCCCAGTAAAACATTAGACATCGTTTGAAGAAACCCATGCCCCATGAGGGGGGGCCCACAGAAACAGATCTAGAACCTTGCAAACTACAAATCCCAGTTTTACACGAATGATGTACTGTGATCTCGCTCGGGCTTTCGTTCTCATTCAGAGCCAACAAAACCTCCAAAATACCTTAATATCCATGTCTCTTAAGACGATTGATAACTCTTGAAATTGACCCCGTGAGCTAAACTTGGTAAAATTTAACAGGGGGCACAGGTGGTTCACCTTTATTGGAAGAGGTAGATGCTTGGAGTCCGCGAGCGAGGACCTAAACTATCGGCCTGCTCCTACTTTGCAGCCAATCTGCGTCTCACGGTCCCAGATTTCGTCTACGTTCAACAAACGGGATTACAATCCCCGCCAAACCTTTCGGGCGGCATTGTAAGCTTTACAGGCTGGGGGAAATGAGTCCACGTTTAAGATGAAGGGCTCGTGTACACCTAGATTTCAGAAATCACTTTCAAGTTCAAAGTTCAAAGGTTGCAAGGGAAATGCCAAACATGCTTCCCCTTCCGCCTACCTACACCTAAACCTGAAATCCTCATTTCAGCTCTTTCCTTGGTGTGCTATTTTCAAGCTACTCCTTTTTTTTTCCAATTTGTTTAAAAATACTGACACACTAATCATAAAACGTAAGCCAAAAATAAAAGGTGTTTGCATCTTTTCAACCTCGAAATCCTGCTAAAAACGATGAACTCGAGAAGCCCGAGAGGTGACTGCCCGAGGCAGAGCCAGAACAGTGTGTCGGGACCGGGCGGGAGCGGGACCGGGCGGGAGCGGCGGCTTGGGCAACGTCTGCCCCTCCCCCAGGGCCCGCGTGTTCCTCCGCCTTCTGGAACCTCGGAAGGCAGACGAGAGACCACGCGTCACAGGGGAGATTTGGACACCTCTTGGGAGAAAGGTTGAGGCTGCGTATTAGCAAGAACCGTTCGCAAAACACCAAGGACACCACCCACCACTGACAGAAACCCGGGGGGCGCTGGAGAGACCCTGTTAACGGTGCCTGTCCCCTTCCCGTTCATTAAACGGCTGTCCTCCGAAATGTTCCTTCGTAGTTAAACACCTCAACGTGAACACACTCTCCAGTCCACCGGCAGAGCACTCCTGGCCCAATTCTGAAAGGAACGTGCACCGCGAGCCCCACAGCACACACCTCAGAGCCACCGGGCAGCGGGCTCCGCCCCGCAGCTGGCGGTGCAGCCTCCGGGCAGGGACGCCCGCCCTCCCCTCCGCGGGGACTCGGAGCCACTTCCTAACTGCCTGATTTTCTCCATCCTGACCCCCGTCGCCCTTTCCTCCCTTAGCTCTTGAAGAGATTAACCCCACAATCACAGCAGACGGGAGACGGAGGGAGTCGGCTCCGAGGGAAGGGAAGGAATGTCCGTGCGGCCAAGGCTTCCTTCCGTAGGCAGTTTGTCCGGCACTGCGGTGGGCAGCCTCAGCGGGACCAGGACCCTGCCGCAGGGAAGAGGGGGCCTCGGGTCCGCTCGACGCGCTGATTGGTTGAGCGGCGCCTCAGGGGAAGAACCCGGATGTGCCTGGGCAGTCGCGTTGGCAGTCGGGGGCTCTGCGGTGCGGGCGTTCTCTGGTGCTGGCAGCCCGGGCGGATGGCGCAGGCCTGGGCTGGCTTCTCTGAGGAGGAGCTGAGGCGACTAAAGCACAGTAAAGGTAACAGGACGTGCAGGACCTGCTGGGGACCTTGAGTTCTGGGGTCTGTCAGGGCAGGGGGCGGGGCTGCAGCTGTGGAGGGGAAGGGGGCGGGGAAGAGGGAAAGGTGTTTGCGTTGCGGGATGGAGCCGCAGGTGGGCAGACAGGACGGGGGGCTCCCGAGGTGGACGCGCTTGGAGCCGTGTTGGTAGGGGCCGTCCCGGGGCTGGGACCTGCTCTGGGAAAAGAGAGTTCGGGGATCCCTTGCGGGGTTTCCCCTCTTCCTGTAAAAGGAATGGGGAGGAGGTGAGCCTGTAGCCGGGCCGAGCATTGCAGTGTGGATCCGGGGTTGAAGGTTGGGGTCAGGGTGCAGGGAGGAGGGGCACCCACCACGTGAGAATTGTGATGAGTTTACAGCAGCAGACAGTGACCGGGAAAGGGAGAGCACGGGGTCCTCGCGCAGGACGTCGGTGCTTTTCGTAATACATCTGGACTCTTGCGTCCGCTGCTGGTTGCCAGATGATTTGGGCAGCTCTTTCTAGCCCTTGAGAGCCAGTAACCAAAGGGGCCTTTGAGAGGTTAGATGTGAAATAAGTAAGTGTGTACACACACACACACACACACACTGCTTTGGTATAATCCAGAAATCTTGTGTTTCTCTCTCTGGCTTTAGAGAGTAATCATCGAATGGACTTGTACTATTTTGTTATCTTTTAAGGAAGGAATTAAGTGTGTTGATACTTGGTGAGAAACTCTTGGTGATATAAAGTAGGCTTTGCTGATGGTTGAAACTTCAAAAACTTCTGTTTGGTGATCCCGGTAGTGCACACAACTTACGTGAGTTCACTCGACTCTTGGTACCAAACTTATACTCTGTGCACTTGGAGAAAATTAAATAAACCCTGGCGTGCCTTTTCTTAGAGTTGGTGAGAATACTGCATATTGCTCAGGTAGGGCTGTGCGTTTTTAGCATGGATGTGAGGATAAGCCGCGGCTGACAAGTGGAAAAAGAAGTAAATTAGAAACATGGGGCCAGTGTAGATTACATAGGTTGAGGAAATTTTGACTGGCCCAGAGGCCTTTACAAATGAACTTAAACGTTGTAATGCAGTGTGTAATTAACTGACTCTGTCTTGCTTGGTGTTACCAAATTCTCTTGTTCTGTATTTTGAACATCCGTTCACTTAGATGTGAGTACAAGTGCTTCTGCTTCTTGTCCCACCTGAAGTTAAAGGTACCAGCTGCTGCAGCAGGGCTGCTAAGATGAACAAGGCCTCATCCCGCTTTCAGGGAGTTTGTGGTCTGCTAAGGAGACGAACTGTAATAGAATGCGATAGGAGATGTCCTACAAGAGCTTGCTGCGAGGGAGCAGGACCCTCACTCTGGGGGGAGGGGCGCGGTTGGGTGGCGCTTGGATATCACAGAGATTATGTGTTGGCAGAGGTGAGTTTGCTGGGGGGAGAAGACTTCATGTCCAACTCTAAATTAAATAATAGATTGATTATGTAGAAGTACATTTCTCAGTGTCTCTGCAATTTGGGATAGAGAGGGCGTGGGAGGACTTCGATTTCAAAGCCTGTCATTTCATAGCCAGACACTAGAGCACAGACACCCACTCACTAGTCTGAGGTCACCTTGAGGAAGAGGAAATGTCTTGGCATCTTTGTAAACTCGTAGCCAAACACAGTGATTGCCATGTGGCTCATCCAGCTCTGCCTCTAAATCTTTTTGTCTTGGAGTCCTCATTCGTGAAACTAGAAGTGTTGAGTCTTTGTTTTTCAAGGCTCCTTCTAGCTCTTCTCCAACCATTAAAATATAAATCTATGAAAGTGAAATTGGTTACCAACAAAAATAAGGAAAATAACTAGAGAAACCCATATGTGCAATGGTGGAGAACAAGAAGGTTCTCAACACTATAATATTGAAAAGCTGGGAATAAACCAAATGTTCGTTAACAAGAGTGGATAAATAAATTGTGGTATAACCACCCAGTGGGCTACTATACAGCTAGTGGGAATATGTGAACTGTAGCCACGTGAATTAACATGTATAACTTTCATAAAACAATGTATGAAAAGAGCAAGTTGCAGGAGAAAATATAGTCTGCTAACCTTTCAGAGAAGGTCAAAATCACACAGGCAGGTATGTTTTAGGAATGTAGAAAATCTGTAAAGAAAATCTAGGGACCGAAACACAAAATTCAGGGGAAGCAAGGAGTGGCAAATACATAGGGAATTTCAAAGGTAGTGGTAATTATGAAATCAGGTTAAGCCAAGTTAAGCTGCAATAACAAATAGCTCTAAAATATCAATTGTTTAAAATAATCCAGATTTACTTTACTCCAGCTTTGTGGCTACCATGGGTTGGCAGGTGACTCTGCTCCACATGGCCGCTCCACACAATGCCCTGGTGCTGTCGTGTAGGAGGAGCCCACCACGGCAGGAGGAGGAGAAGACTGAGAATTAAGCATTGGCAGTAAAATACTTTCACCAGTAAATGGCAGGTGTCACTCCTAGTTCATTTGGCAAAAGCAGGTCATATGACTTTAGAAGACACGATATACAATTAGCTTGTGTATTTCAAATAAGTGGGTAATGTTCTATTCTTGAATGGCAGTTATATTTACTATAATCATGTTTTATTTGCTAAACTGCATTGTTACTTCTTTATAATCCATACAGGGTACATTTGTGTGTATGCGTGTGTGTGACATACATATTATTGGACACTTGACATATATACTGAAAAATTAGAAATAAAAGAAGCAGTGCAGCTACAATGCTTTATGTTTTCCAGTTGTTGTTGATAAACGAAAAATACAAGAAGCCAAAGAAAATATGGCAAAAGACATGAGTAGACATTTCTTAGAAAAGGAGATATGAAGAGATGCTTATCACCATCAATAAGCAGAGAATTGCAGATCAAGAACATACTGAAACCCTAATTCATCATACCCAGTCTGCTGACAGAAAGTCAGAAGTCCTTTATCAGATGTGTCTGTTGCAAATCATTTTCTCCCAGTCTGGCCAGTTGTCTTCTCACTCCCTGGACATTATCTTTTTCAGTGCTGAAGTTTTTAATTTTAGTGAAGTTCAGCTTGCCAATCTTCTTCATGAATAGTGCCTTTGGTATTGAAAGTCATTGCCATACCCAAGACCATCTAAGTTTTCTCTTATATTCTAAAGGGTTTATGGTCTTTGTCTGAATTTTTGCATGTGGATGTCTAGTTCCGGGACCATTTATTGAAAAGAATTTGCTCCATTGTATTACCTTTGCTCCTTTGTCAAAGAGAAGTTGACACTATTTATGTGAGCCTGTTTCTGGGCCCTCTGTTCTGTTCCACTGATCTATCTGCCTAGTCTTTCACTAATACCTGCTGTCTTGATTACTGTAGCTTCACAGTAAGTCTTGAAGTCAAATAGGGTCAGTCCTCCAGCTTTGTTCTCCAGTATTGTATTGGCTGTTCTGGGTCTTTTGCCTCTTCACATAAACTTGAGAATCAGCTTATCAGTGTCCACAATATAATTTGCTGGGATTTTTATTGGGATTGCATTAAATCTATAAGTGGAGTTGTGATGAACTGACATCTTGACAATATTGAGTCTTCCTACCCATGAACGTGGAATATCTCTCCATTTTTTTTTAGTTTCTTGATTTAATTCATCAGAGTTTTGTAGTTTTCCTCATATAGCTCATGTACGTATTTTGTTAGATTTATATCTAAGTATTTTTTGAGTGCTAATGTAGATGGTATTTGTGATTTTAATTTCCAGTTCTACTTATTCCTTGCTGGTACATAGAAAAGCAATTGACTTTGTCATATTTATTTTGTATTCTGCCACCTTGCTATGATAGCTTATTAGCTTCAGGAGGTTTGTTTGTTTGTTTGTTTGTCATGTGTTTTAAGTGGCCTGATTCGTTTATTGCTTGAGAGTTTAAAAATTAGTGTTGTAAATCTGGTAGGTAGATTCTGTGAGGATGTGAAGTAAAATGGAAGCCGAAGGACAGCGTCCGAGCGGCACCACTAGTTCAGCCAGTGAAGACAGCTGGGAGGTGAGCACGCCCAGTGATGTTTTCTCTGACGGTCTGCGTGCAGATGAGCAAGCAAGAGTAATAAGCTCCTCTGCCAGGGCACAGGAGGCTGCTTTGTGCTTCTGGCTGACATCAACAGTAATAACACTTCACTTTAGATAGCCATCTATCTTTTAGAAATGTTTTCATTGCCCATCCCATTTCACCCGTATGCCAACTCTGTAAGTTAGGTGGAGCAGGTCATTTTCAACCAGTTTGACAGATGAGGAAACTGAGGTATGGAATAATTAATGGACTTGCCCCAGGTTACCAAGCTGAACAAAAGCAACTTGGACTGTGACCCCAGAACCTTTAACTCTGCTTTGGAAAATTTAAATAACAAATTTGCACGGCTTCAAAGGTCAATATAAGTACTATTACTCAGTTTATAATTCTTTTTTAAAAAATTCTCAAGAATCGTTTTATCGTCCTCTATTGCTTCGATCAGGCCACTGTTAAAGCTAGCTTGCACACATTGATTAAAAGCCAGCTGGACTGTGGGGAGCACAACCTTGGACTGTTCTGGAAGACGAAGGAGAACAATTCAGGGTAAACTAACGTTCCTAGACGCCAGACACTTCATTCAGTAATACTTTGTGTATAGTGGTTTCCTGTGTATCAGATTGCCTTAAGATCTGTTGAAATTTAAGAAAGGTAAAGCTCATTTGAAATTTATTTCAGGAGAGCAGGCACAACCATAAATCAAACTTAAAACATATCAGAGAATTCAATTTGTCTACCTAGCTTGGTCAGATTAGTTGATACTTTTGATGATTATCAAATCAAACTGAAAAAGAACTTTTGCTCTGTATCCTAAGGCGTTGCTCACAGACAAATGGATTTCCTTGAAGATAAACTGAAAACTAGGGCAGTTTTGGTTAAATACTAACAGTATGATGGAGGGACTGTTGGAACTCTGCGGGAAGATGGCTGTTTTTCCTTGGGCTTTTAAGACAGAGAAGGGGCAAAAACCTTGTAGAATTATCAAAGTTTAGTATTAATCCTTTATTTTCTTAGAGAAATTATAATTATTTGCTATTCACACAGAGGAATTTTCCTCTTTTTCTTTTTTATATAGACCTCTTTGAACCGCAGCGGCGTCCCCCTGTGAAGAAAAGTCGACAACAACTTCAGCGAGAAAAAGCCCTTCAAGAGCAGAGCCAAAAACTGGGGCTGCGAGATGGATCAGCCACGTCACCTCCGGAGCAGCTGCTTTTGGCGCCACAACAGAGACTTTCGAATCCAAAGCCACATTTTCCTCCCCTTACTGCTCCTAGTCCTCTCACGCCCACCCCTCCCGTTGGTGATGGGAGGCCACAGGGTACTGAGAGTCAACCAAGGGAACTGGGACTTGAAAATTCCCATGACGGTCACAGAAGTGCTGAGGTTCTACCTTCAGATAGCAAATCGGAGAAAAAGAAAGTGGAATTGTTAGTAAGTCTATATATCCATGAGATTTTTTTCCATTTTACCTTTTTTTCCCCATTGGGCTTTGAAGAAATGTAGTTTTAACATTTTCTGTTTTATATTCTAACCTGGAAATGTGATAAGTTGTCAGAAATATAGCTACCACCTACATATATTATAAACCAGTAAGTGTTAGGCATTTTAAATATTTAATGTCACTTAGTTCATTATTTTCACTTTACAGACAAATTCTATTTTGGGCTTAGAACAACTATTGTATTTCCAAAGCCAATACACAACTAATACGCAGTCGAGTTGGGACTCACAAAAAAGTCTGAATCCTAAGGCTACGACCTTTACATTTCCCGGAAACATTTTTATGTGTGTAGTACTCCTCTGCAGAGTGGTGCATCTGCACTGGCCCAGAAGAGAGTACTTGTGAGGAGACACGTAGGGAAGGTCAAAGGAGAGAGTGTAGGAAATTGAGGGTACTGATTAAATAATTCGCTTGCACCATTAGATTTCTTTTTGTTCTTAATTAAATTGTATTTAAATCACTTCCAGCATTTAGCCACATCCTTGTGAAAATTGCCATTCTATGACTTGTAAATTCATACAATCACATTTTTTACTATATCACTTATGCTTTAATATCTGTTTAATATGTTATTTGTTTCCTGCGGGTTCATTGCTCATAGGGAAGAAAGGGTGGTATTTGTTTCTGTTTTCCATTTTCTGAGTCTTTCTTTTTACAGGTTTTTTCTAATCTCAGCTATTTTTTTAACCTCTGATGATCCAGATTCCGTACTGTGACTTTACAGTACTTCCACCTCCCTGGGGTTTATAACCAAGAAATTATTTTGACAGGAGACACAAAGCTACATGATGCATGAGCCCAGTGTTGAACAAATGTGTCCATTTAAATGTCTTTAAGTACAATTTACCAGTAAAGGCCTGAGACAAGTGGGAGCTGGGTTTGCATTGAGCTGGGCAATTTAGATCGAATGTCATATGGAAAATTATTCTTAGGTACTTGGGAGAATTTCCACAGAAGACATGTAATCTCGGGAACTGTTGTTGGAAAGGAGAAATTCTGAGGCTGTAAGAGGGGGAAAGGAAAGCTGTGTTCCCAAGAATGCTCAGAGAGGACTTCTCACTTCTCTGGAAGAGGGAAGGGGTAGGCCAGAGAATAGCAAAGAATTAAGAAAGTGAAGGACTTAAAAGCAGAGGATCCCTGCCTAGCCGGTTCCCAGCAGTGGTGTGCCACCACACCCTCTGAAGGGAGAGACGCTGGTCAGAAAATGGGGAGAGAGAATCCAGGTGTCTGTGTTGCAGGATGTTTGGGAGCGGGTACGTGGTGAGCTGGGGCTAAGGCTCCTGGTGAGGAGGTGCGTGCAGAAGGAGAGATGAGAGAGGACCAGTGCTGGCCAGCACTAAGGTGCAGGCTGTAGGAATGGAGAGAAAAGGATCGTTTTAGAAGAGCTTACTAGGCTGGGAAAGAGATTTTTCATACAATGGCTGTAAGAAATGACAATATCTTTGAATGAAATACCTCTGTCATTAGCTTGTTTAATTTGAGTTGACATCACGTTGATGAGTTCTCAGGACACTTTAATACAGTTCTTCACTTTCAGAATTTGACAGAGTGGAAGAGGATTCGTGTTTTCAGATCTTTGAAGTTTTTCCTTAGCCTAGCATTCAACTCTTAGTTCCTAATGTTTCACTCTGTTTAAAAATATTTAAGAGCTGGAAAGAAGTGAGCAAATTGAAAGAAAATGAATGAATTAAAAGTTGGTTATTGTCCTAAGGATGTTACGTGGTGGAGACTTCCATTACAGAAAACTCTGAGTCACTTCTGGTCAAGATGTGGAGTTACATATACACTGTGCTCACCTACTCCCACCACTACATCAGACTTACAGCTAAAGTACAGAACAGTTACCCTTGAGAACTACTTGAAAATTAGTTGAACAGAACTCGTATAACTAAAGAGATGAAGAAAAAGACACAGTAGACTGGTGGAAGGGGCAGAGGAGCGGAACAGGCAGGTCCCACACTCATAGAACAGCAGTTCAGGAGAATCAGGAGGGATATCCAGGCTGTGGAGGGTCCCCACTGGAGGTGAGGGGTCCCAACCCCACACCAGCTCTCCATCCCAGGGCAGCAGTGCTGGGACGAGGAGCCCCCACAACTTCTTGCTGCGAAAACCAGCAGGGACGTACCCAAGTGAGACGGAGGGCTTCTGGAGTCCCAGGCTTTCTTGAGTCTGTGCACAGGCTTGCTCACTCACAGACCCACTTGCTCTAAGCCTGCAGGGGCAGCAGCTTGAAGAGTGGCAGGACATGCAAGGAAGAAGTAATTTCCCAGCTTTGGGTGAGGACTAGAAGAGCAGGGGGCAGCTCTCTCTGGGAACAAGCACTGGCAGGTGCCATTGTTCCTTCGTCAAGCATGGCACATGCAGGCTCAACCATCTCCTGATAGAGTACCGTCCACCTGTTCTGGCGAACCCCTGAGACCTCATCTCACTCAGCTTACGTGCCTGGCCTGTGCAGCTCCCAGCAGCTTTGCCACGCTAGCTGCCTGCCTCAGCTCAGGCTGTTGGCGTTCTTGAAACCTCAGATGTCCACAATCAATGAGCAGAAGCTGTCTTCAGCATGCCCTGTACACCCTGCTAAGTGGCCCAGGCCCTGCCTGGCAGAAGCTGCAACCAGTGTTGACTCAGAACATACTTTCAATCAAGCAGCCACAAACCCAGCACAAGTGGGGACTGAACTCAGCTCACATCATGGTGTCTTCCAAGGGGTCCCAAGTTTGGCACTAGTGGCATCGGCATCAGTTTGCAGCATAGCCTCTCTATAGCACCTCCAACCTGAGCACATCAACCAACTGCAGGTCACTTTGTAGCTTTGAACAGGTGGTCCCAAGCCAAGTGCAAGTGGAGGCTGACCTTGGCCTAATGGAGCTCCTCCAAAGAGGCTTCAGAACTAACACGACCAGTGACCAACTTCAGACCACCAGAGCATTACCCAACTAACTCCACAAACGATACTCCTGAAGGTTGAACTTAGCTGGCACCACAGCCCAGCTGGCCCTTGTAGCCAGTAAGCCTCAGAGTCAGTGGGTACACTGATGTGCCAGCAGCAGTCAAGGCTCAACTACGGCAGGAGAGCACACACTCCCACACAGAGAATATCCCTGGAGCACCCAGCTCGGATGAACAGGAAGACTGCACCACTGCGCCCCACAGGACACCCGCTACATAAGCTACCCTGCCGAGACCGGGAGACGTAGCAGCTCTACCTAATACATAGAAACAAACACAGATAGGCAGGCAAATGAGGAGATAAGCATGTCTCAGTGAAGGAGTAGAACAAAACCTCAGAAAAAGAAGTTAACAAAATGGAGACAAGCAATTTACCAGATACAGAGTTCAAAACACTGGCTAAAGGGAGCTCAGTGATCTTAAGGGAAGAATAGATGAACTCAGTGAGCATCTCACAAGTACAGAGAAACCATTAAAAAGAACCAGTCAGAAATGAAGAGTACATTAGAGGGAATCAACAGCTGATTATGTGAAGCAGAGGATCAAGTCAGCAATCTGGAAGAAAATGTAGCAGAAAACTCCCAAGTGGAATAGAAAAAAAGAATTTTTTAAAAAGTGAGGACAGTTTTAAGGGACCTATGAGAGTACATCAAGTGTGTCAATATTCACATCATATGGGTGTCAGAAGGAGAAAATAGAGAGCAAGGGACTGAGAATCTATTTGAAGAAAAAAATGACTGAAAATTTTTCTAACCTAATGAAGGAAACCGACGAGTCCAGGAAGCACAGAGAGTCCCAAACAAGATGAACCCAGAGAGGCCCACAGCAGGACACATCATAATTACAACCCCAAAAGTGAGAGACAAAGAATCATAAAAGGAGCAAGGGAAAACCAGTTATGTACCAGGGAACTCCTACAAGACTGTTGGGTGATTTCTCAACAGAAATGTTGCAGGCCAGAGGGATTGGCAGGAATATTCAAAGTGATGAAAGGTGAAGACCTACAACAAAGGATGCTCTACCCAGCAAGTCTCACTGAGAATCAAAGGAGAGAGAGAATTTCCCAGACCAAAAAAAGCTGAAGGAATTCACCATCACTAAACCAGTATTACGAGAAGTGTCAAAGGGACTTCTTTAAGTAGGAAAAAAATAAAAAATATGAGTAAGAAAATATAGGAAAGAAATAAATTCTCACTGATAAAGGCAAACACTGAGCAGAAGCAGTGGGTCAGCCAACTGTAAAGCTAGTTCAAAGGCTAAAAGGCAAAAGTAGAAAGAGCCTGTGTAATTACAATTACACATAAACACATAAAAAAAGTAAAAAAAAATGACAATAACAGGAGGAGAGTAAAAGTTGTAGTGATTTTAGACTGTGTTACAGCTTTAGCAACCATCAACTTAAACTGCTATAAACATGCTTTGGTATATAAGAAGCATGAGGTAACCACAAAGCAAAATATAAGGAATATACAAGAAAAAAGGAATCAGAACACAACACTATAGAAAGCCATCAACATACAAAATGAGAGAAAGAGAAAAAGGAACAGAGAAGAACTACAAAAACAATCAGAAGGCAAGAAAATGGCAAATAACCACATACCTATCAATAATTACTTTACATGTAAATAGAATAAATGCCCCAGTCAAAGGACATAGGGTAGTTGAATGGATAAAAGAACGGGACCCACACATGTACTGCCTACAATAGACTCACTTTGGATTGAAAGACATGCACAGACTAGAAGTGAAGGGATGGAAAAAGAACTTTGCACATGGAAATGAAGAAAACTTGGGGAAACAATAATTATGTCAGCCAAAATAGACTTTAAAACTAGGTCTGTAACAAGAGACAAAAAAAAGGACATCTCAATGATAAAGGAGTCCATCCAACAAGAGGATATAATTCTCATAAATATACCTAGGCACCCAACATAGGAGAACCTAAGTATATAGAGCAAATATTGATCGACATAAAGGGAGAAATCAACAGAAATACTGTAATAGTAGGGGGCTTGAACACACCACTGGTATCAGTGGATAAATCATCAAGGCAGAATATTAACAAGGAAACAGTGACCTTAAATGACGGCAGATGAGATGGATTTCATTGATATTTTGATCCAAAAGCTGCAGAATACACTTTTCAAGTGGACATGGAACGTTATCCAGGATAGACCATGTGTTGAACCACAAAACAAGTCTCAATAAATTTAAGATTGAAGTAATACCGAGCATCTTCTCTGATTGCAGTGATATGGAACTAGAAATTAATTACAAGAGTAAAACTGAAAAGCACATGAAGGCTAAATAACAAGCTACTAAAGAATAGCCCCTCACTGGCTGGTGTGCCTCCATGGACTGAGTGTTGGCCTGTGAACTGAGGAGTTGCCAGTTCGATTCCTGGTTGGGGCACATGCCTGGGTTGCAGGCCATGCACCCAGTGAGGGGATGGGCTAGAGGAAACCACACATTGATGTTTCCCTCTCTCCCTCTTTTTTTCCTCTCTCTAAAAATAAAATATATTTTTTTAAAAAGTAAGAATATACAATGTAAAAAAGACAGGCTCTTCAATAAATGGTTTTGGGGAAACTGGACAAATACACATGCAAAAGAATGAAACTCAATCACTCCCCTACATCATGTACAAGAATAAACTCAAAATGGATTAAATTCTTCAATGTAAGACCCCAAACCATAAAACTCCTAGAAGAGAACAGTCAATAAATTCTTGACTTTGCTCTTAGTAATATATCTTTTTGGATATGTCTTTTTGGGCAAGGAAAACGAGAAAAGAAAAGAAAACAAATGAGACTACAACAAAGTTTTTGCACAGTAAAGGAAACCATCAACAAAAAGCCAGCCTACTGAATAAGAGAAGATATTTGCCAATGGTACATCCAATAAGGGGTTAATATCCAATGTATATCAGTAACTCATACAATGTAATATTTTTTTAAAATTCAGTTATAAAATTGGCAGAATCTGAGTAGACATTTCTCCAAAGGACATACAGAAGGCCAGTGGACATGTGAAAAGATGTTTAACATCACTAATCATCAGGGAAATGCAAATTAAGATCACAATGAAATAACACCTCACACCCGTTAGAATGGCTATTATCAGTAAGACAAATAACAGGTATTGGTGAGGATGTGGAGAAAAGTGAACCTGCATGCACTGTTGGTGGGATTGTAAGTTGGTTCATCCACTATGGAAGAGGGGAGATTCCTCAGACCAAGAAAAATAGAACTACAATATGGTCCGGCAATTCCATTTCCAACTACTTGCCCAAAGAAATCCAAGACTCTCATATGGAAAGACATGTGCACACCTATGTTCACTGCAGCATTATTTATAGTACCCAAGGTATGGAAGCAACCTAAGTGTCCATCGGTAGAATGGATAAAGAAGAGTGGTTCCTATGTACAGTAAAATATTGCTCATCCATTTGCAACAATGTGGATGAACCTAGAAGGTATTGTGCCAACTGAAATAAGACAGACAGAAAAACAGATAACCATGTGATTTCGCTTAAATGGGGAATCTGAAAAAACAAATGAACAAACAACAGAAATAAACTCATAGATAACAGAAAACGAATTGATGGTTGCCAGATGGGAGGAGGTTTGAGGGAAAGGGTGGAAAAGATGAAAGGATTAAGAAGTACAAATTGGTGGTTATAAAAATAGTCCCAGGAATGTGAAGCACAGCATAGGGGATATTAGTCGATAACACTGTAATAACTGTATATGATGTCAGATGGGCACTCAGTTTATTGGGGTGACGACTTTGTAAGTTAGATAAATGTCTACTGCAATGCACCTGAAGTTAGTATTATATTGTATGCCAACTGTAATTGAAAATCTTTTGTTAAAAATTTAAAAATAAATGCATATTCAGTCTAGAGAAAAATAAAAAAATTCTGGGCATACAAAGAAGCAGGAAATTGTGATACATAACCAGGAAGAAAGTCATCAAAAGAAACAGACCCACAAATGATGGGAATTATCAGGCAAAGAATATTTAAGCAGTTATTATAAATATGTTCCATGTGCCCAAGAATGAAGAATATAAACTGATTTAATGATTAAATCATTAAAGTGATTTTTAAAAGAACTTTGAAAGATATAACATGACATTAGCTACAGACCTATTTATTTTACTTCCCATTTTGCATATAATACATAATTAACTTACACAAGTTTCTTTGTACTTCTAAAAAATGCCACTCTATTCTGGCTTCCAGTTTGTGGGTTCCTAGGTTATATACATATAATGGATTTCAAAGGGCCAATTTATGTAAGCCTTCTTTACTTCAAATCATAGTCTTTGTTTCTATTAGAACAAAATAATGAGCTGCAGATGGGTTCCTTTTAACAGGACTTTAAAAAATATATACATAATCTGGCTGATTAAATTTTATACAGAGGGGACTGAGACTGGTAAGGTGTGGGGTGAGGTTTCAGAAACTCATTTTTACACTTTTTTGCTCCCTAGGCAAGAAAAGTCTCGCTGGGAAATCCTCCAACAAGAACAGCGGCTAATGGAAGAGAAAAATAAACGTAAGAAAGCTCTTTTGGCTAAAGCTATTGCAGAAAGGTGAGGCACCTGAACCAGGAGAGGTGGTTTGCAATGTGCGGCCAGCTCTTACCATGTTTTATATTTTTGCTTTCCCATGTCCATTGTAGTAGACTGACATTTTCTTGACAACCATTATTTTTTAGACTAAATAAATGATGCTTTATAAATCATACTGACATTCTGGTGTTAATTTAGTAAGGAGGACTTTTTAGCCATAGATCGTAACAAATTTATTGACACCGGTGCAATTACAACTTAGGATCAACATCAGTGTTTTCAGTTTTAACCATCTCCGCATTCATAAGGGAACAATGAAGAACTGTCAGTACAGTGCGAGTAAATTAACCACCAGTCCAGGTTTTCGTTTTGATACTTAGGGGCCTTTGTCACCTAACATGTGGAAGAGGAAGATTGTTGCACATAAGTGACTTGTACTTGTGTTTCCTAAGGACGTTTTTCTTAAATAATTCACCCTGCCCTCACTGGTAGAAGAGTACGCGGTACAAGTTAACCTCTCAGCGATGACTCGGGTCGCGGGTGTGCACTGCCCCGTACTGTGCCGTTCTCTCCGCCCAGTGGCAGTGTGTCCGAGATCCCCTTCCCTTCCCTGCACTGCGCTGGCCCTGAACAGCACCATTCCCATTCGAACCACCGTCCCGTCCCCTCACCCACTCTTCCTGCGGAGGCCTAGGCAACCAAGCTTAGTCAATGAAGCAGCGACGGACAACACCGAGGACTAAATGCAAGCAAGTATTCCATGGCATTTTCTTTTTAGATTGCCAGAAAAGCCTGGCACATCAGCTGTGGAGTGGAACTGACGTAGTGTCAGGGAGGGGAAGGAACACGGATGGAGGGACAGGCGGGCAGGTGGAAGAGCAATTCCACTACACACTGTACCTCTTTGGCAGATGCAGTATGTATTGGAAAATGATTTTTTCCTCCTGCTGGTTTACCTTGATCTTTCATGAAACTTAGGAAATACTACTACTTACTGAATTTATGTTGTGGGGGGGGACCATGATTATTGAAAAGTGATTATTAGAAAGCATGTTAGCAGTCTTCAGTATGGAGCAGGTTCTAGAGGCTTTTACTGTGGATTTGACCCCAAATTTTACAGGCTTAGCATGTGTTCTGTACGTGTTTTCCATGTGAGACAGGAGGCACTGATGTAAGCTGATTAGATTACTAATAAGTGGACAGTGAAGCCCAGTACTTGTAGTAAAAGAGCAACACTGTTAACTTCTATAGGCGGCAAACAAGGGTAAGTGCATAAATACAGCGGAGACCTGTAAGTTGCAGTGTAGTGGTTTTATGTGGGAGTTTTATTCTCCTGTGAGAATGTGTGTGAAATTTTGAAATGAGTGAAATCATGATTAAAGGTTGGCTTTTGCCTTTGTTTATTCTATTTCTAAGTGCCTAATACACTTGGGAGTGATGAGGGGACCGAGATGGTGATTGGATGTGCTTTTAAACAAAAAAAAAAGTGCTTGATTTTGAGCTCCATGAAGAAGAATTTTGAGGACCTGTAGTTTTGCCTAAAGAACAGGACTCAAAGGAATAAAAGTTTGGGGAAATGAGTCCTACAGAAGTTAAAGCCAAATAGATGTTTTTAGACATAAAGAAATGGTGTTTGATGTAGGCCTCTGTTCTTGGTATCCACTAGATATCAAACAAAGAAAAATGTTGGCGTAGTGAGAAGAATTTAAGACTAGAGATTTGGAAAGTTATGTTCAATGATGTTCCAATGTAAAGAAAATACAGATATATTCCTTTAGAGCTTATTCGTGTCCTTATGGAATGAATACAGACCTACAACTGAACTATTGATTATTTTTAAATCTTTTCCCCTCATGTATGAAAATTGTATATACTAATAGTAAACTTGAAATAATAAGGGAAAGAAGTGCAAATGCAGTCTTAGAGATATACCAAAATGTTACCAGCATTTGATTTCAATTTTTCTTGTTTTTTCTAATTAAAAGAAATTATACATTATATTCATACTGTATATACGGTAGCTTGCTTTTTTTCACTTACACTGACCGTATGGATACATGATTTTAAAATGTTTTTCTTTCTCCATTCGTGTTGCTGCTCTTCCAGGTCTAAAAGAACCCAGGCAGAGACCCTGAAACTGAAGCGGGTCCAGAAGGAGTTGCAGGCTTTGGACGACATGGTGTCAGCGGACATCGGGATCCTCAGGAACCGGATCGACCAGGCCAGTCTGGACTACTCCAATGCTCGGTGAGTTGGGGAAACTGGATTCTGAACAAGCAGTTCCATTGAACTAAAGTTCGTTGCTAGCTGGGTCAGCACCGTTTTTGTATATCATCGTTGCCACCTCATAACAAGCACATCAGGTGCTGTATTTTTGCCTGTTATGGGAGTGGTGGTAAGTGTGTCTCCTCTTCATGAGGTCTCCCTTCACGTCGCCGTACCGCTCATGTTCTCGTTAGAGCGTCTCTGCATGATTTGTCTGCATCTGAGTCTTTCCTGCCAGTGCACCAGGTATCTAACATTTGGGACCCTGCAAATATCTGGAAGACTTGCCCCCAAACCACAGTTCTAAGACCAAGTTTCTGCTCTTTCTGTTAAGAAATTTTGATTGTCTGAGATGCTCCTTAGTGATTAGCCTCATTCTCATTTCAGTTTTCATTAAAAAAAGATCTAGTTTATTTTTTAAAATCTATGAGTACTTTAAGGAAAATACCAGTGTGTCTTGAAAGCTTTAAGTTTTTTCTTTTCGATTATATTCTGTGTAAATAGTTCACTATCACGTGTTTTCTTGGTTTCAGCCATTGGCATTTTTTAAGAGAAAAAATCATCGTGGAGTAGTTTTTAAATGAACTAACACATGTAAAGAATTACATGAACTTTGCAAGCAGATAAAAAGGCAAAAAATTAAGTCCAATTTTCAGGGTTTTCAGTCCTTTCAACATTGCTTTAATCATCCTGGCTTGTCTTTTTTCACAAGGGAATGCTGTGTTAATGACTCGGTTTTGCATCTTTCTCTGTAACACTAGAAATCAATCAGAATGCCTCATTAGTCCAGGGTGAACCACAGCATCAGAATGTTTATATAACAATTTAATAAAGCGGAAATGCTTGATTGTGGTTTTTAATTCACTGTTTATTGTTTAAGAAAGAGCTTGTGGTGTCCTTGTGATTTTTGTAATTGTTGCTTGACCATATGCTGTTAGACTTAATGGGTTGCCTAAATTAATGCCATCAGTAGCTGATAACTAGAGGTTCCAGATTTCTACTAATAAGGTCATTAAGGAGGTGACCAAGATTTTATTAAGATTAAACTAAGTCTAGATGTTTAGCACATTTTATTCTCTGTAAGTTAAGGTTGCCAGAGGAACATTTTTTTTGCCATTGTAGCCCTTTATATGAATAATTCATATTACTCTGGATACCTCAACAGAAACATCATCTGCTTGTTTTAATTCCATCCTACAGGAGGCTGGAGAAGGATGCCTTCGTCCATCAAATAATTATATGTTAAAAATGTCATAGTTTTAGCCTTCAGAGAACCACAGAGAAGGTGGAATTACTGGTTAAAGGAGAAAAAGTCCCATATTGTAGAAATACTTGTAATGAAATTTTAGTAAATTCTTTTTTTAAAAAAAGATTTTATTTATTTATTTTTAGAGAGGGAAGGGAGGGAGAGAGAGAGAGAGAGAAACATCAATGTGCGGTTGCTGGGGGTCATGGCCTGCAACCCAGGCATGTACCCTGACTGGGAATCGAACCTGCAACGCTTTGGTTCGCAGCCTGCGTTCAATCCACTGAGCTACGCCAGCCAGGGATGTAAATTCTTACATAATAAAAAACTTACCATGTAAATTTTTTTACACCTCAAGCTGAAATGACAATTTTTCATGGTACTGATATTGACATCATGGTATGTGAATATCTGTATTGCATGTGTGAGGCTATTTTTAAAAACCTCATAGACAGTTGTGGCTAGGACCAGCATTGTATTTTGTTCATGCAAAAGATTAAATTTTCTAAATTTATATCTGTGGTTATTGAGAAATTATAGGTTGGTGATATAACATTCTGGTCTAGATTTCTTGTGATCCCCGGGATAGTCCATTTCTGTGGGAGATTTCCTTGATTTTTTTTTTTTAAGTATGGTTGTATAGGCCTGGGACGGTGCCGTGTCCACAGACGTCCTGGAGTTCCCCGGAAAACAGGCTTCCGTAGATGCGTGTCAGGGCACACAGCCCCGAGGAGACCAGCACTCGGGCGAGGCAGCTCCAGAGCTGCTGCCGCCGCCGCCGCTGTCAGCAGCGACGATGACAGTGCGGCCATATGCTGTGCAGGCCAGCTTGTAAAACTCAGAGCGGCTGCATGTAGAACATTCCTTTAACCCTCCATGTACCGGGAAGAACAATTATCACTGGTTGCCATCCATGTTCAGTGGACCCTGCCCCGCACACAAGCACATACACGTGCACACACAGGTATGTGCATCATATTCCAAGTCATTCTATGAATAATTCACAGAAGTAAGAATGGAAGGGATTGTGGGAAAAATTGTAATGTGAACATAAGCATCACAAACTGCTTTGTATCGAGTGCTGTTTGACTCCAAAACTTATTATAAAAGGCTGAAAGAATGTGGCAATACAAGACAGTCCAGATACTTGTAAAATACTGAGTGATTAACTATGAAAATAACATTTTCTTTTTAAAATCCTCTCTTCACTGATTGATTCTTGAGTTGAGAAAATTCATCTTGGGCGTGTTTCTCTGAAGACCGGTGTGCTGAGCTCTCACTCACACGACCTGTCTCACTGTCCAGTCCGGACAGTGCGTGTCTGCGTTGGTGTTGGTTTCCCGCGGCCGCTGTAACAAGTTACCACAGACGGGGGCGGGGGGCGGGTGGTGGGGGGGGGGGGTCTTAGAACAGCAGAAACTGACGCTTGCGTTTCCCGGAAAGCAGTGCGGGACGTCCAGGGTCACTCTTCCTTCTGGGTGCTGGGGAAAAGGAAGTGAGTGTCTTTTGGGGGTCACGTGTTAGCCCACCACATTTACCTTTTGATTTGTGTAATAACTGCGAAATGTTTTCATCTGTTCATTTTCTCTACTTTGCCATTAGGACAGAAAATAAAAAAAATATATTAATTCTCAGCTGTGTTCAGTGAAAGCTGAGAACAGATTACAGATGGGGGTTTCCAGTCTTTCATACCTTTTTGAAAGGTGATGTAATACTTTGGACAACACAGTAAGAAAATTAATCGACAGTGATTTATTCCATTATATCATCATCCTTTTAGGTCATTTCATCATTCCCCTTTTTCGTATTATTTTAATTTTTTAGCATAAATGGGGATAATTGGTGAGTAACAAGGAAATACTTCCTAGGGTGGTGAAATGGCAAATGTGTCAAGATACATGAGAAATGCATCTCAGTGATCCGATAATGTGCCTTCAATTTATTTAAAAAATCCAGTGGACTCATGTAATAATTGCAAATTATGATTCGTTTCAGTCTACTTTTTAAAATATAAGTAAATTTTCTCTTTGTTCTCTGGAAGACTTCTGAGAAAGGATAAAACAAGCATGGTTTGTTGATCCTTACAGACAGTTACAGTTGCTCATAAAAGGAGCTGGAAAACTGAAAGTGGACCATGGAACCCAATGGCGTGCCAAGGGTTAACAATTGAGTTTGTCGGGGGTTTTCGTTTGTTTTTGTTTTTAATTTCAGGGAAACCCAAACCAAGAGAGTTTCTAGAATCCTATAAATAACATTCATTAAGTCATTCAGTGTCCCTTTAAAATAACGAAATGATTCTTCAACTACATTGCAGCTCAGTGTCTCTTGCTGTATTGTGCATGATGCGCTTACTGTTCTGTCCCAGACTGTGCCATCACACTGACTTGGTGCGCCCCCCGGCCCCCCGGCCCAGAGTGCAGCTTGTGAAACTAACCAATATTCTAAACATAAATCACTCTGTACAAGAACATATATGCATGTTTCTGGCCAGGAGGACTTAAATAAATAAACAAAATGCAGAATCTTCAGTGATTTATCCAGGGTGAAAGATCAGTGGAAACCTAGGGACCAATTTGCAAATCTTCATTTCAATTCAGCATTCATGAGCCCAGCCGGTAGATCTTTCCTACCTGACTCTGACTGGCTGAGGGAGACCACATACGTGCAGAGAAGGGGGGTGGGGGTGGGGGTGAAAGGGGTACGTATTCACGCACCTGTAGCGGCTGTTGCCAGAGCTCTTAAGCTTGATGCCAGAGCATTCACACGCAGGATGTGTTGCACGGCACGGGAACACGGGGCCCAACACCCAGCAGAGCTCCTCTAGAACAGTTCTCTTAACCTCCAGGGTCATGGGAAAACACCTAGCTTTCTCCTTCTTATACTTTCTAGATGACAGTCAGAAAAAGGAAATATGATAAATGAATGCCAGGTAAAAGTTCTCAAGTTTAAACACCAGATGCTTACATAATTTTAGTTTTAGATACATGTTTAGTGATACACTGCTGGTGCTTTTTGATCCTGGTGCTCTGGAGGGGAAGTTCTGTGTCTTGAGGACCTGCCGGCACTGGGCCAGACACTCGCCCCAGTTGCACGATACAATCCTTTACGCTCTGAGGAAGTGCTTTGCTCGCTGCCATTCTGCAGACAGATGAGCGCTCAGTTGAAGAAACTACCGGGGGTCACTGCACCGGCGTTTCAGTCGCTGCGGGCCTAGGCTCTGACCCTGTCCACGGGCACCCGGCTGCTCTGGTCTCAGGATGCTGACCGGAGGCGTCTCCGATTAGAACGGAGGCATCTCTGATTGGAACGGAGGTAAACTGCCAACTGCAGAGAACGTTTAACCCGCAGGCTAACTGAGGGCTCACGGGGTGACCCAGCACCGTGCGCTCTGCGAAGGGCAGAGGTTCAGGCAAGTACAAACTGGGTCATTCTAGGCGACGAGAGGCAGCCCCACGGGCACTTCATCACATCAGAGACGTCCTCACCCTGCGCAGACGCCGAGGTTTCCGTAGAGCGCTGCAGCTCTCCCATCGTGCTGCGTCCAGTGTGGCCGCCAGCTGTGGCTCCCCCAGATCCCAGAGGTCACTGTCCTTATCCTTCTCCACAAGAGTTTTCCTTTTCTAACCCGTTAATCGAGAGAGAGCGATTTCTCAACAACAACAACAAACAAATGGAGCTAAAAATGAGCAGAGGACCTGAATAGACACTTTTCCAAGGAAAACATACAGATGGCCGACAGACATATGAAAAGATGCTCAGCCTCTCCAGCTACAAGAGAGATGCAAATCAAAACCACAATGAGATACCACCTCACACCTGTTAAAACAGCTCTTATCAATAAGACAGGAAACGACAGGTGCTGGAGAAGATGTGAGGAAAAGGGAACCCTGTGTGCTGCTGGTGGGAGCACAGACTGGCGCGGCCGCTGCGGAAACCTCCACTCAGGGATTTCTGCAAACATGAGTGGAGCCACCTTATGACCCCCGCCATCCCTTTGCTGGGCACCTACCCCCACATTTTTGAGAACACTCACTGGTAAAGCTCTATGTCCCCCTGTGATCGTTGCAGCTTTATTCACAATAGTCCAGACATGAAAACAACTTCAGTTGGATGATTAGATAAAGCAGATATGGTACATACATAAATGGAATAGCACCCAGTCATAAAAAAATATGAAATATTACCATATGCAACAACCTGAATGGATCTCGAAAGTATGCTAAGTGAAATAAGTCAGGCAGAAAGGACAAGAATCATGTGATTTCACTCTAAGTGGGGCATAAAACAAAAAGCAACCAACAAGCAAGACAAGAAGACTCGGCCGTAGACAGAATGCTGTTTACCAGCAGGGAAGAAGGATGGAGGGAGGCAGCAAGGGGGAGTGGGGGTCAAATACATGGTGACAGAAGAGGCTGGACTTCCGGTGGGGAGCATGGGATGCAAGTTCGCAGCTGTATTATATAATGTGATTATTAACCAATGTCACCCCAATACATTTAACTTAAATAACAGAGATACTGATTTTTCTGCCTTCTCCGTCTCTTCCTGTCCCACCACTCACACACAGACGTAACCAGATGTGTGCCGGAGCTAGCTTCACTGGTTCCTGAGAGCAGATCTGGTGCGTCTTTTCCCAGTTCTGCGTTCAGTCACATGGGTAGCTTGAAACCGGCCACGGTGGTGGTATTGACACCACGGAAATCAACACACTGCGAATGAGGGCTCTCCCCCTCAGAGCTTTCGTACCACTGGATTAACCCCCTTAGCCTGCTTTCATTTAAGCACCACCTTGGAAGGAGGAAATGCGTGCAGATGAGCGTTGTGACACTAGGAGAGCCCAAGTGTGGATGGGGTGGAAGTTTTGGCAGCATCAGCCTAGTTTTAGTTTCTCTTAACGTGTAGACAAGAGTTCATAAAGCCTTTATAGCCATATCTTCATTATATATTGTTTCTGAATTCTGGAGTTTAACTGTTGCTTCTCAGCCCTCCTTTCTGCCATGGAGAACTAATGGGCCCTCTTTGTACCTGTCCCTACAGGAAGCGGTTTGACAGGGTGGAAGCGGAGTATGTTACAGCCAAGCTCGACCTGCAGCGCAAGACTGACATTAAGGAGCAGCTCACCGAGCACCTTTGCACGATCATACAGCAGAATGAGCTCCGCAAGGCCAAGAAGTTGGAGGAGCTGATGCAGCAGCTGGATGTCCAGGCTGATGAGGAGTCTCTGGAGCTTGACGTGGAGGTGGAGAGACTGCTGCACGAACAGGAGGCAGAAGCAGGGAAACACAAGGTGCATGGAGAGAGACCACTGCAGCCTTCTGGGGAGAGTGCGGCTTTAGGGTCTGCCCAGAACACAAGGCATCAGGCACCAGCCGCTTCCCCAAAGGTGGACGGACAGTGTGAAAGTCCCGAGAGCGCTCCCCTGCGCGCTCCAGACTGCCCGAGTCAGGGGGCGAGAGCGACTGTCAGCGACGACTCGGCTGCCCCGAGCACGTGAGCACTGGTGTCGTTTCTCCCCACTGCTGGACGCAGTGCTCGGTAGACCCTCCGTTGTGGCTCTGCTGCGACCTCTGGTGAAGAGGGCCCCTGTCAAACAGCGTTAATTTTTGGATCTGTGATTAGTTTTATGCTAACGTGTTTGGCCATTCCAAAGACGCAAATGATGATAATTTTATACATAGGGGCATAGTTCACCCTAATGTTGGTCCATTTCCCTTAGTGTAGCCTTATTTTGGGTAAAATCAAGTGACTTAAAAGGGTAGAAGAAAAACTACATGGCCATGAGTGTTTCTAGACCAGGTAAATAAAGAAAAGTAAATTGAAAACTGATAACACCTCATCAAAATCATTTAACTTCCAGCAGAAGTGCTGAGACCGAGAACCCTATGTATGTCATCAGTAAAGAGACGCAAAAATTAAACGTGAAAAAGAGAGCAAGAAACAGAAAACAAGTAGTATTTGGATCTTACTAGATTATTACCTCTTTGGATCGTACTAGAATTGGAAACACAGCTTCACAATTACCGGACAACTTAAGCCAACATTACTGTTGGGTTCAATTTGCCTCTTAAGTGGCTTTAGTTTACAACCTGAGTTTTGATTAGTAGACACACACAAACATATGCACATACAAATATGTCATATGTATAATTTTACTATTAACATATTGTCTCCTTTAATCACATTGGTCAAATTAGTGAAAGCATTTCTGTGGTGAGGCTGCAAATCTTGCTACATTTTATTATGAAAAAAACACATTTTCTTTCTAATATTTCCTATAAATATGTGTTTTATATGTCATACATAAGTTATCCTGACATAAAGCATTTAAATAATTAAAATGATGACTTTCTTACTGCTTTAGTAGTTTATCATCACTAATACTTGACCACTACATTGTGCTGTATGTGAATATGCAAATAAGTATTGCAACTTTGTCACAAAATCTGTGAATATTACATTCAGTTCTGATTGATTAGAAATTCCAAACAGTAAAGTCATGCATTTTAAGTCTTAAAAAGAAATAAAAGAGGATAAAGACAAATATTGTATCCATAGTAATCTCTGAAAAAGATTTTTTAAATTAGTTTAAGGATATTATTTTCTGATAATGTGGATGAGCTCTGTATTTTTATATGATGTTATTGACCTAGAAATGTAGCTTTCCATCACTGACTTCTCTAAACAGAGGCATTTGTGTAGGTAGTGCTGTTTTTATGTATGAGTGACATACGTAAACACCAAAAGCTTCATTGTCCAATATGCCCCTATTTTTCTAAGGAATAAACAAGTCTGATGCACTCATAATGTGGTCTCTCATTTACCTTTCAAAAAAATTCCACAGCTTAGTATGTATTCCTTTTTTTTTAAAGTATATATTCTTGGGCAGTGTGTGGCAGTAATGCGTCCTGAATCGCCATGACCGTATGCAGTCATCTATTTCTGCGTGAACCTCTGTTAGGGCAAATTCATCACTAAACAAGCTTCTGTAATACTGGCCAAATACAGATAGGTACAATTGAATAGTCAGTGTAAGACTTTAAGAAGTTACCAGCCCTGGCTGGCGTAGCTCAGTGGATTGAGCTCGGGCTACAAACCAAAGGGTTGCCAGTTCGATTCCCAGTCAGGACACATGCCTGGGTTGTGGGCCAGGTCCCCATTGGGGGCCACAAGTAAGATGAAACCACACATTGATATTGCTCTCTCTCTCTCTTCCTCCCTTCCCCTCTCTAAAAATAACTAAATAAAATCTTTTTTAAAAAAGTTATCACATAAGGTATATGGGGAAGTGAGAACCAGGACATAAGTGACATGGATGGAACCTTGCAGGTCATCTGATGTAATTATCTTATTTTCCACATGAGGAATTTGATGGCTGACTAGCTCACTTTAAACTTAAAGTGATAGTCAAGTTGCAGTTCAAACCTTTTTTTTATTAAAGCAAATCTCAGCTGCTTTTTCCCCCTTCCCCTTCTTTCTACCATTACTCCCCTCCCGCCTCTGTTCCATGTTTCCATGCCTGTGGTGCTGTTTTGTCGGTTAGTTTATTTTGTTCATTAGATTCCTCTTATAGGTGAGATTGTATGGTATTTGTTTTTCACCAACAGACTTAATTCACTTAGCATAATATTCTCCAGTTCCATTCATGCTGTCGCAAAATTTCCTTTCTTTTGCTGTGTAATATTCCATTGTGTAAATGTACCACAGTTTTTTGATCCACTCATTTACTGGTGGGCACTTGGGCTGTTTCCAGCACTTGGCTATTGTAAATAACACTGCTATGAACATAGGGGTGCGTAAGTTCTTTTGAATTGGTGCCTTGGGATTGTTAGGGTACATTCCCAGCAGTGGAATTACTGGTTCAAAAGGCAGTTCCATTTTTAGTTTTTCCAGGAAATTCCATAACTGTTTTCCACAGTGGCTGCACCACTCTGCATTCCCACCAACAGTACACTAGGGTTCATCGTCAAAAAGAAAAGGGAACCAACCGTATGGGAAAACGCATTTGCCAGTGATACATCGGACAAGAGTTTGGTCTCCAAAATATACAAAGAACGCATGTGACTCATCACCAGGAAGACAAACAACCCAATTAAAAAATGGGCAAAGGATCTGAACAGACACTTCTGCAAGAAGGACGTACCGAGGGCCCATAGGCATATGAAAGGTTGCTCAGCATCACCAGCCATCAGAGAGATGCAAATTAAAACCACAATAAGATATTACCTCACACCTGTCGGAATGGCCATCATTAATAAATCAACAAACAACAAGTGCAGTTCTAAACTCCTGATGTATCTCTTCCCTCTTGAAGATGTTGCTGTAGAACCCATTCAGGGGTTGTGTTTGCGCGTGGGAAATGCTTTCACATCGGTTGGTCCGTGGGCCGCTGAAACCATTATTCTGGAAAACTTACCTTGCTTGGCTTTCCCGGGGTGGTACCCGAGGGCTCGTTCAGGTGATGATATAAGTGACTGAGTTCTATTGCATCAGCTGTGTGCAAGGCAGCTGTGGCCCACGTGTGAGGAGCACGGGCCAACGAAGGAGACGGGGGGCTCCCATGGTATGAGCACCATATGCACTGGCCTCTCCAGGACAGCCCTGATGGCTTTCAAAATCATAAAATACAGGCAAGAGACTTTTGATATACGGGCTCACAAATCCACAGTAATTGTTAGTTTCTGTGAAGGAAATTATTGGTTCAGAATGGCAGCCATGAGTTTATTGGGCCACTTTGGAGAGCTGTTCTTAGAGTTAAATTCCGTTCTCTTCCAGTTCTCAGGGCGCTGGACGGTGAGGTTGGCCGGACTCTCAGTGCGCTCCGTAATTGTGGAGTTAACTACTTTATGTTTTCTCACCTGCTCTGCGTAAAAGATGCTCTTTACCAAATTGTAGTAAGTTTTACTCGGGACTTGTAAAAAGTCATACTCTGAAGAATATGCAGAATAAACTGAATTCCTAAACGTAAGAGTTCCTCTACTTGGACTTCCTACCCCTTTCTTGAAATCAGTGTCAGAGAAGCAGGATTTCTTCGAACACAGCTTGTGTTGCATTTAAAATAAGGAGTTTTTCTCAAATTTTTCACCTCTGCATAATTCTGCTGACTGAATTATAGCAATTGCAGGTAGTAAATCTTCGTGCTCACTAAGAGCACAGCTGGTTTCCAAGTCAGATGATAAAAATCTGACTGGAATTCCTAGAACCAGTTTCATTGCTGGACTGGCATTTGAATTGCACAGTAAAGACTCAGCTGCAAACCGCTCCTGCTCTTTGTTTGTTTCTGGCAACACGGCGCGCTCCAGGAGCTTTATCTCGGCTTCAGCAACTTCCTCTTCTGAGGCACTGGCACAAAGCGGACTCCAGTTATTCTGACCCGGGCCATTCCCCGTGACCTTTACAAATGATGTTTTGGGTTTTGTATTTCTAAGGAGCCAAGTCAGCGTTTCAAAAGGCCCTGATAGATATAACTCAGTCTGCCAGACGAGACCTGGGGCCGCTCTGGACCAGGGTAATTATACCCCTTCACAACATAGATCTACCCCAGGCCCGACTTGAACTACTCTCAGGAGGGAGGAAGCGGGACACTGATTTCCAGTCTGCCTTCACCTCAATGTCAGGCCACTTTTGCAAGCTCCTAATCCCAAACAGCTGTCTTAAAAATGCAACATCATCCCTGTGCAATTGATCAAACAACGGGATATAGCTACGTACATGGACAGAGCTCTGGAAGAGGTGGGTAGGCTCTGTGTCTTTTGTCTCTAAGAAGCTTCTAGTCTACTTGAAGGACTAAGATTGACACTCTTAAAACAAATGTCTTACTAACAAGGGGACAGAATAAACAGTAGGAACACTGAACATGGACACATCCTCCGGAAGTCCCAAAATTTTCCAACACTTTTCATTGTAAATATTCTGCCCAGTTGGTTTGCAACCTAAGACTGTACCTAGGACCTGCCAGGTCTTCCAGTTTGCTGTTAGCCCTGGGCACAACACACACAACTAAAACAACAACAACAAAACCTCTGTTAGACAATCTGTCCAGATTTTGAGTTAAAAAAAAATGTAGTCACTAGAGCAAGAGTCAATTGGAAAATGGGGAAGTTTTTGCATGTCACTGATTTGAAAGAGTGGGCCCACCGGGATTTATCAGTGAAAAAAACAAACAAAAAACAAACTTCAAGTATTGGGAAAAGTAACTTGAAGAACATGCCTTTCTGACAAAGGATTGATAGTATCTTCTTAGGTGCAGCCTACTGTAATTGTAAGGGCTCATTGCCATGATTCAAGGCGTTGCTGAACCAAGGGGCAATAATTACTGCCCAAGCCAGAACAAGATGGAAATGGAACAGATGGGTGTGAGCTCAAGGATAACTCAACGTGGATGCATGTTCAAAGTCACACATAAGAGAGGTCTTGCCAAGCCAAATGGCTCTAGGAGCCTAAAATAGAGCCATAATTAAGCAATAAGACGTGACAGGGAGCACATTTCTCAGTGATTATAGCATGCCTCAGGGGTAAGTCACTAGGCCACAGGTTCACGTGAGGAGTGCAGTAACCCTGCAATGTACAGCATCACGCTGCTGGAGGGAGGAGGAGGAGGAGAGGAGGGATGGCGGTTAGCAGGGTCATTTCGTGAGTGATTCTTTCAGTTGTCGGGTAGCACTGCTTTGTGCATATCATGCGTGCTGCTGTGAGCTGTACCCAGCCTCCGGAAGCTCTGTATCTACAGCGAGCCTTCATTTAAGTTAAAATCCTGCGGAACTGTCTGTCTGCTCATGCTCTTAGCCAAGCAAAAACCGGGCAATAAAGACACAAACAAACTTGAAAGTGCACAGCCATGTATGTGGAACTGCCGTCTGGGGGAGTTATAATTGCAGTCGCTTACACCTGGCTTTTATAACTGCAAAGTAGTTGAATCAACCACATTGAGTCATTTTCAGTACTCGAGCTCATTTTTCTCCCGTGCACTTTCCTCAGAAACTACCAGTAGACATGGCTCTGTGTCCCGTAGGTCCAGAAACATCTGCAGCCTCCTGGTCTGAGCTTTCCCTTCGCAACCAGGGAGCTGCTGCTGGAAGCCGGGGAGCACTCTAGAGCTAGTGACCAGCTGCACCACACGCTGTGCGGGAGGCGGGCCTTTCCCCGGGATGACAGGTGAGAGTCCCAGCAGCTGTAAGGTGGGCTGGAAATCTCCAAACTCTGGGAGATGCCCAAGCCCTGCAGACAGAGGCAGCTGTCCCATGGCCAGAGTCCTCTCTGTGTCCCTGTGGCTCTTGCCACTCTAGAAGTTAGCTAAAAATCCTCTGGGCCAAACTCGGATGGCAGATTGTTTGTGCTCCTTCATGTCTCCTGTGGCATAGGCCCCGGCTGGACGTTGCTCTGGACAAATTTCTAGGCAAACGACGGGTTTTATCTTAGATGTCCCAGCCCATCTTATGGGTGATCAGCACTCACTTTTCAAATCTGCTCTTAAGAAAAAATCTGAAGACAGTTGCTCTAGACGGGGAGTTTGGGAGTTTGTGTCCTCCCCGAATTCATATGCTGAAACCCACCCGGTGGGATGGTACGAGGGGGCCGGTGGGGCCTTCGGCAAGTGTTCAGGTCACGAGGGTGGAGCCTCGCGAATGGGATTTGTGCTCTTGTAAGAGACCTTGCAGAGCTCCCCTGTCCCTTTCACCAGGTGCGGGCACAGGGCAGACGGTCCTCTGCCAGCGCTGTGACCTTGCACTTCCCAGCCTCCAGAACTGTGAGAAATAAATTTCCGTTTTCTTACAAGTCGCCCAGTCTACAGTGTT